CCCCCTGGTTCACAAAATTTGAGTTCGAGAATTTTTTTTCATTATTCTACATTATAAGTACCCAAAGAAACTACATATATAAAAAACCGGATGCAAATAGGTGTTTTGCGAAATTGAGAGCAATTTCAAATCTGTTCAGTTTTTTTTTATACACCCTGTATAGTATGGTTTCTCGTGCAATTTGGAAAAACATACACTCGTCCTTCGGACAATTTTGATCGTCTTTGAAAAACTCACTCGTGCATGGTTTTCCCAAATTGCACTCGAATCCATACTATTACCTATACAAATAGATTTTTATACCTTTCTTTCGTTAAGGTGGCTCAATACAGTTTTTAAAAAAATGGAAAATTGACGATTTAGATGCGTATTGTTGGACAATTATTACTTGTTGATAAACAAAAAGTACCTTACTTATATAAAACAACATCTAAAGAGTTTGAATTTTTGCACAAAAGTTACGCAACTGCCGTTGCTATGGCAACAATGACGTTTCAAGATGGCGGATATTTTGGCTTTAAAGTAATAATTTAACTCGTAAACGACATCGGTGACCCCAAAATTTTATTTAAAAAAATGTTGTTCTATATAAGGTACTTTTTGTTTATCAACAAGTAATAATTGTCCAAAATACGCATCTAAATCGCGAATTTTCCATTTTTTTAAAAACTGTATTGAGCCACCTTAAATTAGGAGGAGATGTTTTTGTATATTACGAAACATGCGCTCAAAACTAATGAGTATAAACTATAATATACTGACTTGCGGTTATGACTACATTCAAAATCAGTTTTATTTTTCGATACGTTTCTCAATCGGCAAACAAACTTAACAAGTAACAAGATGGTATATTGTTGTAAATATGGCGTCACTTTTAAAGCATCATTGATAGATGACATCACAATTTTTACTATTATTTTATGTGCATTTAAAAAGGTAGCTAACTGTACGATAAACTAGAAAATAAAGCTATCTTGAGAGGTACGCCAAAAAGATATTCGGTTTTGAACATTTTTCATAGCAAATACGCGACACAGAACATATATTATATATACGCTCAATTGACAAAAACAATATTGTTCTTCGCAGATGTTATATGAAAGTAAAAGTGGGTTAAATAGAGAATAATAGTACGACAGATGTTTAATTAATTAAGCATAGTTTGAGGAACCGGCGTTTTGTTCAATACGTTTGATCTTATAACGGCGTTAATTAAAATAACATAAAATGTCCTTAATATATTATATAATTAGAGGCGCCTTTTGAAAACTGTAACAAGTAAAGCCCATTTGCCACTGGGCGAATTTGTTCGCGCGAAACGAGAAACAAATCTTGATTCTTGGTAATGTGATTGGTCAGCGAAAAAATTCGCCGCGAAAAAGTTCCTACTTTTTTTTACTGTTCGCGCGAACAATTCGCCTAGTGGAAAATGGGCTGTCCACAAGGCACAAGGATATTTTCAATCGCAGCCAGTCTATTTCTGCGACTCTTGCGACGCGACAATTGCGATATTTACGACTTAATGGAAACCAGGCTTTAGTGTTAACTATACTTAGTCAAACGTTTCACAATTCAGCCTTTACATGGCTTTAGAACAGCTCAAAATTGCTTTAAATTTGTGTTGTGAATCGCATTGCAGGTGGTATATTCGGTTTTTCTTACGTCTTTGACTTTGTTGGATTTCCAACAGGAAAAATTATTTCACGTTACAATTTTAACTCAAACAACTCGCACTTTTTACTGCACTGAAACTTTTGATGAGATGATGAGTTTCAAAACTCAATTCAAGTTTGAGTTTTTTGGGCCATAAAAAAGGAAAAAAGTTCAAAAAAGTAAAAAAGAAAAAATAAAAGTAAAAAAAAAGGTAAAAAAAAAGTTAAAAAAGTTAAAAAAAAAAAGTTCAAAAAGTAAAAAAAAGTTCAAAAAGTCCTGAAAAGAACCCTGAATGTAAAGAAATAACTTTATTTTCTCACTCTCATATAAACTACTGGTTTACGACCCATAAACCTTTGACTTTGTACATATTCGAACAATTGTACAATTTCGTACAAATTCAACTTCGTTTTTTAGCTGTTGGCATTCCTAAGTGTTTTGTATGATTTCCTCTCGCTACAATAGTCCCATCTTGCAGTTTTAATTCGGCCGTAGTAAAAGCCATGGTCCTTCCAACTTTTAGAGCTTCTGCTGTAATTGTGACAAGGTCACCACTTTTCGCAGCTGACATATACCTATAGGAAAAATATGAGGCACAATATTATAACTGCAGGCAGAGAATAGGAACCTTACAGAA